AAGATGCATATTTTCACCTCACGATACACCCTGCACACAGGTGCTTCCTACGATTCACAGTAGCCTCAGACCACTTTCAATACAGAGTCCTCCTGTTTGGACTCTCCTCTTAGATGGGGAATGTGATGCATCTGAGTGCATGGAGGGCAGTGATCTTTGTGCAGGTGTAGGTGTTGTAGTGGAAGTGTGTCGTGGTGCTCAGTAATGACAGGGGAACCATTGGCTGCGATGAGTATCATAGTAATGCCAATCAGTGTGCCATGGGGAATGTTGGTAATGCAGCTGGAGCTAGCCCTATTGGTTTTCTGTGCCACAAGCGAATGTTGTGCCATAGGCTGGCAATGTGCTGGGGATCTTGAGTGTGCCTGTGGTGATCCAGGTACCCTTAATGCCAGTAGTGCCTCTGTCACCACAGGGCCCTTGCTAGGTGCCTTTTTTGTGGTAGCTGATTTTGAGGGCTGTTTCAAGTGCATCTTTGAGCCCATTATTGAGGAGGCTTGAGACTTTGCTGTGCCTGAAGTGCCTGGCTCATCTCCTTTGCTAATTCTTGAGGGGAGAGAGCTGGCTGGTGAAGATCTAGTTTCTTGAGCATGTTCTCTGAAGAGAAGGGCTTGGATGTTTGCCCTGAGAAGAAGTTGCGCTCAAGCCCTTATTGCTCCTTTGATAAGGGCTCTATCCATAAACTGCATGCACACTGTGAGCTCACTTTCTTTGCAAGATCTGGTTGTGCGGCTATGGCAATGGACACATTTCTGAGGTACATGTGTGTCCCCCAACATATTATACATTCACAGTGGGTATCAGAGGCTGGCATAAATTCTCAGCATTTGCAGCATCTTTTCTTCTTAGGAGAGTCTGGCATGTCTTCCAGAAGCTATTTATAGCTGTACAAGCAGCTGAGACTGCTTGTGGGTCGCTGGTTTCTGTTTCCTTTCTTTTGTTTGCTTGCTGTGGCTTGCCACTGCACGGTGGTAAAAGCTGGTGGCAGTGGCTTATTTGTTTGTTTGTTTTTGTTTTCTGTGTAAAAAGAAGGTAGTCCAGTTTAGTGCCTCAGGACTATCTAAGCTGATAAGGTGGGTCTGCTTTGTCCTGCAGCGTATGCTGAGGAGGACAGAACTGAGCTCTGTCTGTCGGCGAAGAAGGAACTGAGGAGAAGCAGGCTGCGCATTCTACTTCAAAGGCAGTAGTGCCGCTCTCTGCTCACGCATGCGCAGCCTGCCCGATTACTGCTCTCAAAGTCTCCGATCTGTGGTGCCAGGATGAGCCTGACACAAGTGTGGTGCACCCACGGGAACATCACTTGAACAAGAATATTTTATTATCCCTGGAAATACTTATGCATCTAGTTATTCTGGTTTGTTCTATATTTATTTTTATAACTTTATAAGTAGCATTATACATGAAGAATTTTTATAAGATAATGCAGTTTATATGTATTTGTTTTACAGAAACCAAGAACTATTGCTAAGGCCCATTACCAAGATATCTGACCACTTCTTACTCTTAAATGCAGTTATCCCCTCAACACCCATTATTGCTATGTTATATCTGTGTAGGAGGCATGGCAAAACTAGGTGGGTGACTTGTCCAACATTACAGAGGAAGTTTGATGCACAGCAGGGAATTGGACCCAGATCTGCCATTGCCTGGTTTTAGGTTAGCACTCTAGTCACTGGGCTATCCTTTCTCCTTGAACATCCACTTGTGAAAAAAGCCTTATAATCTTCAGTAATAACAACAGTGATAGGAGGACCTCTTTAGTAATCACCACAAGCTTTCTGTGACTCAAGAATATCATATGTAACAGTTCATTGAAACAGGTGGTAATATCAACTTTTTATTTTTGGTTAAAAAATGTATTGAGTTCAACACACAACTTTAACATCTTACAAACATAATGAGTGCTCAGTTACATGCTTGAGGGAATGAGTTAGCAAAGAGTACAAACTGAACAGAATAACTGAGGAATATATCTCACTGCCAGACTTCCAGAGCCACTCTGAAAACTAGTCAATAAACCAACAAACCAGGGCTGGAGTGCTTTACTGTTCAGTTCCATAGAATCAGTAAAATAAAATAAATGCAGACTAAAACAATCTTTTTCAGGCTAATGAATTTTTCTGACATGACAATGCCCCATACTTTGCAATACCAAGTCTCCCTCTCTCAATTGAAAAACCTTTCTCCTTCTGTGAAATGTTTCATGATTTCTACGAACTAGTGACTAGTCAAATTACAGGCTTCAAAATGCTTTTAAAATAATTAATTAGAACTAAAAAAATATCAATAACTTTATTTGTTGTATCCTGTAGGGATGTTAAATTGTATTTAACCAGCTAATTGAGTAGTCAATGGAATTTCCATAGACTACTCGATTAGTCGATAATGGTAGAAACTGTAAAGCGTGGTTAGCTCCCAGCCCAGGAGCTAATCCTGCTGCGGTTCTACCCTTTAAATGTATTAAAAGCCACCAAGCTCTTAATACGTTTAAAAGGAAGAGGTGCAGCGGGTGGACTGAGTATGAGCTCGGAATAAGCTGTCCCAGCTCACACTCGGTCCCAGAAGCTGCGCCTCTGATTTTTAAATGTATTTAGAGTCACTAGGCTCATTCCCAGTCCCCGCTATGCCTCTGCCTCCCATGCCCCCCAGACAAGTGACTACTCGATAAGCATAGGTTTATCAGATAGGCAACTAGTCACTTACATCTCTTGTGTTCCGGTAATTCACAAACTGCCACAAACTACAAAAAAACAAAAAAGAAACAAACAAACAAAAAACCCTGGTACATAAACACACAAACGAGTGTGAAACATGGAGTATTGGTTTTGTCCACTTTCTTACATTTCTAAAAGCCAGATTTCAAAAAGTATTACAAAATAGTTTTCAGCTGCCAAATAGTTAATCTAGCCTATTTACAAGGTTAAAAAACCCAACTACAACCATCAAACATTTTAATAGTGGCAAAGCCATTTACAGCAGATCCAGAATTCCACCACATTGGAGGAAATTGGAAAATAGAAGTTTTTACCATCCCACCAAGATCTCTTTTTTCAGGAAGCATTTGTGAAAAGAATGTTTTTCTGCAGAAGTAAGGAACACCCATGGGATTTTAAAATGTCATTAAATACTGAATTCTTGGGATACAGATTTAGGAATGAGTTCCAGCTGAAATTTTGTATGAAATTTGTCCCCCACCCAATCAAGTATTATTAGACAAGGGCAAAAATCTTATCTGGACATGACAAAAGTGTGCAGATGATATCTGGGATTTTGCATTTTAAAAGAAAACTACTGTGCATGTCTTATAGACAGTTTGGTTAAAATAGAATCCACATTTTGTAGTATGATTAGAATTACATAAGCAGAATAAATTAACTCATCACTTGCCTGTCACTCTTTTTCTAGAATCAAATTTTCCTGGAATGCCATTTGTACTTTTAAATGCTTTGTTTATTAATACTTGCCATAAAAGAGCAATGTCTGCTATTTCTGAAACAAAGTTTCATCAAGAGAGAAAAAATATTATAATTTTTGCACTAGTACAGCTACAGTGAAGCTTGAGAAAGGTTTCACTATGAAGTCTTCATTATCTCTCAGACTGTATGTGCCTTGTATTTAACATGTCAATTTATTATTTCTATCAACCACAGTATTTCAATTATTTGGGAAACTTTCTTAAAACGTAATAACACCAATATATCCGTACAGCCATAAACTTTGTTACAAAAGCTGTGCTCCTAGCACTGATTTTTCATTAAAAAAGAAAAATTGGCACTGGAGTATTCTAGAAAGCTTGTGAAGAATTATATCGAACTTGTAAACTGAAGTCTAATTTTAGATTTGTATCCCTTTATATAGACAAGTACAATGTTTTAAAAGCCTGATACACTTTATATCTTAATAATATTGCTAATGCTTTATTTTCCATTATAGTAATCTCTTAAGATACGTCTACACTGCACTGCTATTTTGGGATACCAGAGTATCCTGAAAAAGCTATCCTATGTCTTCACAGAAAGCCTGTTACTTTGTGCTCGCTATTCTGACATCCCTGTAAACCTCATTCTACGAGGAATAAGAGAGATTTCGGAATAGTGCTTTATTTTGAAATTTGGAGCAGTATAGACAGCGCCAAATGATGAAATAAGCTATTTTGAAATAGCATCGAAATAAGATACGCAATTTGCATCGCTCAAGTTGCGTATCTTATTTCAAGTTACAGTGCTGTGTAGATGCACCCTTAGATACGTGAAAAACAATGCATTTACCAAAGTTGTCCCTCACATTGTTTCTTCTAACACAAGACTTGAAATGGCCTTTTTTGTTTCATTAGTCTGTGCAACAAATTCTTTATTTTAATACAAAGCTGACGTCAATAATTCATATTTCAGCTCTTTTCTCAATACTTTGAACTGTTTTTTGTGATCCAACTACAACTGTAAGGATGGAGTAGAAAACGAATTCAAAGATGCCTATCTTTGAATAATGAGGTACAAGTAGTATTACTCCATTGACACGAGAAGCTGTCACAGAATAATACTATCATTTTTAAGATAGAAAATGCTATTGGTAACTTATATTCATGTGTCTTAAGGGGTATGTCTACACTACCCCGCTAGTTCGAACTAGCGGGGTAATGTAGGCATACCGCACTTGCAAATGAAGCCCGGGATTTGAATTTCCCGGGCTTCATTTGCATAAGCGGTCTGAGAATTCTGATTACCTGCAAGTCTCACCAAAAGGCTCATTTTTTTCCAGGCATCTGAAAATGGGGGAACTAAGTTTGCGGTCAAGAGCAGCTATATCATAGAGAATTTGTATAATACAATATAATTTAATTGAAGGAACACATATTTAAGTATGTGACATTGTGTTGAAGTAAAGGATTCGCTGAACGTTCTTCAGAGATTTTGGGGTACTTCATTTGAGATTCCTTAAAGGGGCCTGGTTCTTGAAAAGTTCTGACCATACACTCTCTGGGTATGTCTACACTACCCTCCTAGTTCGAACTAGGAGGGTAGTGTAGACATACCCAAGAGGATTTATAGGAAACAATACCAGCCCTAAACAATGCATGATCTTAAGCTGCAACAAGCACATCCCACAGCTAATCACATTTGTTAAGGCAAACTGAGACATCCAAGATCAGGAGAAATCCTAAGGCAGCAATTGGTATTGAAAACTGTGCTGAACCTCTGCAGCTGCAATGGGGTTCAGTACCAGCGCAACAAATTGCCTGCATGTTATTCATTTAGTTTATTGTTTCTATACGAATACACCTTGCACAGCGCACAATCAATTGCAAAGGAAGAAATAACTAAATTGTATTAGTACAATCTGTTATGAGCCATTCATCTGACAAGTCCTTGAAGATTGCATAAAAACAGTCAGCATTAAATTCTTTCCTTTCTTCCTCAAGCTGATGTGTGTTTCACGCTACTGAGAGTTGCATAAAGCAACCAACCAAGGTCTGCATCCTTCTACAACTATACCTATAAGCACCATTAGTGAACACTACTGTCAGCACTCCAAAATAAAGAAAAATGAGAAAAAGTTAGGGAAAACAACAACAAAAAAGGGAATAAGCAGCAAAATAGGAGCCAAACATGAAAGAGAGCATACTTATGTCTCTACCTTTATGGTAAGAAAGGAAATGCTGCACTGCCTAGGAAATGATCGGCACCTCATCATTTCACAGTCCAGGAGTAGCATGCAGAAAAGTCAGTTGTGTTACTTGCCTCTGCACAAAATTCTCTCTCCTCACCCAAGAGCTTTCTAGGAGGCTAAAGTTGAGGGCTCCCACCATACTTATTGTAGGCATAACACTCAATTCTCCAAAAAGATGTGAAAATGGTACCATGAATGCAGTTTAGACACACACATACAGATTACTGAAATAATTCACTTTTTAAAGATCCAGCAAGCATAGCATTGGCTTGGAAATGGAACTGTAACCCAGACTGTACTTATTCTACCATTGCATCCTTTTTGGTACGCTTACCTCACATTTAAACCACATTTATGTCACTCAGTCTGCTACAAGCACAAGACCCAGGAACAGGGTATAAGTGCAAGAGCTTAACTGATCCCATTCTCAAGTAGATCTCTTGAACGACGTGGGCTGGTTAGTTCTAGCTGGGCCCTAGTCTTTAGCTAACAGATTGAAAATAAGATGTTTTGTTTCCTCACTTACGCTAGGAAAACCCGCAGCAAACTATATTAGGGACTCTGATTGAGCATGTGTTTTATAGGCCAGCAGCTGCACAAGGCACTTTGCACAGACACTAGCTTAACAGCTTACTATAAGGTGACACACTGAAATTGCAAGACAGCAAATTTAAAACTGAGATTAGAAACTGCTTTTTGTATTATGCAATGAATAACAAACCCATGGCACTCCTTGTTGTAAGATAAAAATGAACTCATAATTAGGTATTTAGATAGATGAGAATATCCACAATTACGTTAGATAGGATAAAAGTGTTTTAAAAAAGATCTAAGTCTCCATGTTGTCAGGTACAAGTCAAGATCTACTAGCAGTTGAAATTTGCTTCTGTGGGCAGGTTACAATGTTTTTGGCCATTATATAGGTTTTTTCACTCTAACGGTACAGGACTTGTTTCTGGTCATTGATAGAAATGTAATATAGGACAAAAATGGTCCATAGCTCTACTGTAGTAATTCCTGTTGTTTTGTCATTCCTTGTGTAATGAAGATGTCATGTTGGTGATTGAATTGGCAGGAAAAGTCCTCCATCCTAAGTGTTAATGTCACAGTTTAGGGCTGGTCTTTACACAGTCAGCAATACAATGTTCCTTACCTTGAAAATGGGTTCTGATTCATGGTGGATATAAATGCTACAGCAGAGCTATCAAGAGTCTGTGGTACATCACTAATTTTAGTGATAGACTGTAATTTTTACAGTAATAAAAAAGCTGTAACACTAATATATAACACTGTGTATGCATGAATATAAAAATAAACCACACCATCAATATGTAACTTTAATAATCCACTCTGAAAATAGTCTTCTTCTCAACAGTCTTCTGCACTGAGGAGCTGGTTCTCATTCTCATATCCATCAGGCAAGTACGTTTTCCTTAGCTGGTCTGATTTTGGAATGGAACTACCATTCTTCACATGGCGAGATAGGAAAGCCCGCACTGATGGATGGTCAGCTTTCTCAAGTGGGATGTTAGCTTCCAGACACATCTTTACAAAGTCCTGAATGACACTGATTTTCTCTGTCTGAGAAGCACTGTTGCACTGAAGAGAAGCAGTCAGAGTCCTCTGCTTTTTTCTGACGCTCTGCTCTTCAAACTCTGCCTTCCGCTTAGTATGAGTTTTAGACTTGAGATGGTCATTGATTGCAGACTTGCGAACGTGATTCAGGACGACATTGCAGGAAGTACAGAATAATTTTCCTTCATCTTCATACAGTTCACTCCCAAACTCCGTTACACGATCCCGAGGGGTCACATACAAAGCCGTCTTAGAACGATTACGAGAAGGAGTAGCTTTCACTCCAAATCGCTCCATTCTTGTTTTCACTAAGCTTATTAAAAACAAAACAAAACAAGAGAAACATATAAGTCAACTTTTCTAGGCCCCACATTTAAGCATCTAAATGTATTTTCCTCACTCTGGAAATAACTATGTGCAAAACATTGTACATGTTAGCTATGACTGTCAGGTAGACAATGAAAGAAAAGTGTACTCAAGAAACTACATATAAAACCTCTGAGCTAATTTAAAAACCCCATGCAAATGCTGACATCCCGCAAGTTTTAGTTACAACTCAGATTTGTTTAATAAGCACCTTAATAGCCTGTGGGAGATACAAAGCCCTACAGCTATCTATTTTAAAATGTATTTACACCAACTGGCTGTCATGGCATTTATCTTGAACCACAGACAAATTGCCATGAGCGGAGGCAAAATTACATAAAGAAAAAGACACGTAGCCTTCCCCACGGAAGGCAACAGCCAACGTGCCTCCATCTGACTGCAAAAGTGGAGCCTAGGTGTCTGAAGTGACAGCTGAAGGCTGATGTCTCTCTGGAGATGAACGCACAGACGTGTCCCCCCCCGCCGCTCAGCCGGCAGGGGCCCTGCCCAAGGAGTTGTGCGCGCTGCTACAAAAGCGGGGGGCTGGGGCGTGAGCCCAGAGCAGGGTCTGGAGAGAGCTGGGAGGCGGGGAGAGGTGTCGGGGCCGGGCACGGGTCTCGCTGACACCCCCCCCACACACACACACCCAGTGCAGCCGCCCGCGCACCCCT